CCCCAAAACCCCAAAACCCCAAAACCCCAAAACCCCAAAACCCCTTTGTTGTAGGTAACGATTGAAGGAATATCATATAATCGAAATTATATCCTCGAAAACTTGGAGCATGGTGAAACCTTAAGATTAACCAAGAGCATGGAGGACTAATGCTGTCAAAGCCAAAGGAGTTTCCTGCTAATGTAGCATTCTTTGGGATAGTTCCAGATACCCCTGCTATCTTTCAAAGATCGAAATCTAATTTACGATATCTGAGAAAAGAGCATTTTCAGAAAAGAAGAATCTCACCAAATGAGAAAGATGCTTAGTTTTATTTTTATTGAAGAATTATGGTATAGAATCGACCACAAACAGTGTGATTTGTTTAGATCTATGGACTGACATTAAGGTCAACACCAAGATCACCAATATCAATATCAACGTCAAGAAGACCACCATCTGGATCATCACCACCGTCTGGGTTATCACCGCCGTCTGGGTTATCACCACCATCTGGGTTATCGCCGCCATCTGGGTTATCGCCGCCGTCTGGGTTATCACCACCGTCTGGATTATCTCCACCATCTGGGTTATCACCACCGTCTGGATTATCGCCACCATCTGGATTATCGCCACCATCTGGATTGTCGCCACCATCTGTAGTAGTTCCTTCAATTGTGATAGTATGCTCCTGCCAGTCACCATCAAGGTGAATATCAGTCAAGAGGTTATCTTCAGAGTATGTTCCATTTAAACGAGTGAAGCATTTTAAATGAGCATCGTCAGCACCACCAAATTCTGGAAGATTAATATCAGCAGCTAAGCTTGATTCCATATTGAAAATAGTATCTGGATGCATTCCGTCATTCAAGTTTCCAACACCAGTATTAGTATGAGAGGCATCAACACCATCTCCAGCCCAGTATCCTGCTGCTGTATAGTGAGATCCAAACAAGAGAGTATGCAAGTGATGATTGGAAGTACATTCAGAAATAGTACAGAGGAAACCCATTCCAAATCCTACTGATCCATCAGCTATATTGAAGCTATCATCAGAGTGGAAGCATATAGTAGTGGCTGTATCATAGAGGTGAAGATTGCCATCTAAAACCATCTGAAAGTGAATCCTTCTCCATCCAGGATCTGCACTTTGCTCATGAAGCATGAATGAAGTTCCTCCTCCAGTATCAATATTCATATGATTAGCGGTCACCAATGCACTTGAAACCAATAGTACGGTTAGTACAATAAATTTGTTCATTTATTATTTTATATTGTAAATCAGTTTCCTTTTTTATATACGGGGTTTTGGGGTTTTGGGGTTTTGGGGTTTTGGGGTTTTGGGGTTTTGGGG